GGATAGGACCCTGTTGGACTCTTTGAGTCGTAAAGTCTTCCTCTACGCAAGGAGCTACGGCAGCCACGGTACACTTGGTAGTACTTGTAGTCAATCCCTCACCTGAGTCTATTAGACTGTATTTCTGTGAGGATGGAGCAAGCTGCGTTCGCGAATTTGGCCCCCGGCCAGCAGGAGGCGCTTAAAAAGCTTATGTCTCTGTTGGGCCCGGAGGGCGTGGCGCACCTTGCCTCGCAAGGCCCGGACGCGATCAACGCGCGTCTCGAGGCGTTCTCAAGTTACGAGAATGCTCTGTTGGAGCACATCCAGCAGAGGATGAGCGCGACGGCGCCTGCAGCGGCGTCGGCCCCGTCGCAAGCCGGATCGACTCGACCCAAGCCACTCATGCTGAGTGTCAAGTCGTTCGAGGGTCTGGAGGGGGAGAATCTCCTGCTCTGGATCCGCGAGATCGAAATGGCCATGGGCTCTGCCCTGCTTCAATCGGAGCACCAGCGCGTCACGCTTGCCATCTCTAAGCTCAGCGGAAGAGCCCGTGAGTGGGCGCTTACCAGCGGGTCGTCGGTAGACCAAGCCTTCCCGACATGGGATGAGCTGAAGCGACAGCTCTCACGAGTGTTGTCGCCGCCGAACCACGCATACCGCGTGCGGTCCAAGTTCCTGGCTTGCCGTCAGGGGAAAAAGGACTTGGTGGACTACGTCCAGGAGCTACGCACGCTCATCGCCGGCATGTTCGCTGAACCGCTGCCTGAGTCTGTCACCGTCACGGTGTTTATGGATGGTCTCAGGACCGGAGTGGCTCGCACGGAAGTGTTCCGCAGTCGTCCTACCTCGTTCGAGGAAGCTGTGGCCGTGGCGTTGAACGCCGAGCACAATTTCAAGTCCGCTCGCGTCGGCTGGAGCGCGCCACAGGCGAGTACGTCGAACGGTCCTGAACCTATGGACCTCAGCTACGCTGAAAGTGACGAAGCCGAGCTTCGGGCTGCTGAGCAGCGCCGCGGTATCCGCCGTTGCTACACCTGCGGCAGCACCGAGCACTTGCGGCCGGGTTGCCCGCTGCGCAAACAGCAATCTGCTCGTTCGAGCGGCCCCGCTTTGAGCCACAAGGCTGGTTCGTCGCGGGGAAACGGCGACTCCCAGTAGGCCGCCCCGCGCCTACTGGGGAAGAACTAGGTTCTGTAGTGCCTCAGGGAGGGGGAGGACAACGGAGTATAGTCCCGAAGAGAGCCGTACTCTCAAACACGGAACGTAAATGCAAGCCGGGCTTGCTGGTCGTCATTGCGACTGTGAAGGGCTTCGAGAAGCCGTGGACGATCTTGATTGATTCGGGGGCGTCTGGCAATTACGCCAGGCGTTCCTCCATGGAGGGCAGCGAGTTATATGCTGTGGCGCTTCGCGCGCGTTCTCGTGACATAGTCACTGTCCGTTTGGCGACGGGCACTCGTGTCACGGTGCCCAAGGTCCCCATGGACTTGGGCGTCAAGTTCCTTGACTTTGACAGCACGGAACGCTGCTTGGTCTTGGACCTGGATTCAAGGTATGACCTCATCCTTGGCATGGCGTGGCTGGAACGCCACGAGCCTTGGATCGACTGGAGGTCGAAAACATTAGGTGCTACGCACTTCTCTCCTGGTGGGGCTTTGGCGAGTCATGCACCCACCTCTGCCAGGATGCAGAAGCGCTTTTGGCGCGAGCACTGGACCGAGTCGGTCGCTGTGCTGGACATCGGCGTGTCCGAGTTGGTCGACAACGCCGTTGTTGGAGAAGCACTTCCCGGAATGGGCGCGACGTCGTATACGTCGGCCGGTCCCGAGCACCGCTCGTCGGACGTTTGTGGGGCGGCACGTACTCCGCTGGTTCAGGGGCGTTTAACGCCTGGCGACGGTATGTCGCGGCACTCGGAGCTCGGCTCCCCTCGTGCGCGTGGGATGGCACGTACTCCATCGACTTTGGGGCGTTCGACGCTCGGCGACGGTTTGTCGCGGCCCATTGGGCATGGCCCTGCGGGGGACAAGGCGGAGCGTGTCTCGCCTGGTGCTTTCATGACCAAGGATTGCCGTTTTGGCGATTCCTCGCTGGCGTCCACGATGGACGGAGGCGCGTTGTCGCCTGGATGTGGTGACGACGCTGCCGCCACGTCGCCCTCATCCTCTCGGCCTCGGGCGCGGAGGAGGAGGAAGAGACGCAGAGCGTCTGCGGCGTCGTGCGTGTCGAGCGATGAAGCTCCACGCGAGTGCTGCGAGCAGCTATACACGCTCGTGAATGGGCTGACGGGAGACGTCAATGGTGACATCAGCCTTGAAGCTCTTCTCTCCGTGAGTGCTCTCCTCGAGCTTGAGGAGATGTCCGTCGCCGAGTTTGGCGAGGCCTTAAAGGCGGGTGATCTAGCCGAAGTGGTCATGATACGACCAGAAGAAGAGTTTAACTCGTCGTCACTATTGGACGAAGCGGTCCTGGAGGACACTAAGCAGGCACTTAATAAACGTAGTGGCTCAGCCATCTTGAAGGATCCGTCAGATCCGTTGTACCCGTTGGTAGTGGAGTTCGGAGACGTTGTCTCGAAGGACCCGCCTATGGGCCTACCTCCTGATCGAGGCGTTCGTCATGAAATTGACTTGGTTCCGGGAACCAAATATTGCGTCACACGCCAGTGGCCACTTCCCAAGGAACAGTGTGACGTCATTGACGCCTTCTTTCGTGCCAAGAACGAGGCAGGAATGGTGCGCGAAAGCAAGTCCCCGCACTCGACGCCGACATTCTGTGTCAGGAAGCCGAACGGCAAGTGGCGCATTGTGCATGCTTTCAACAAGCTTAACGCGGCCACTATCCCGGCACAAACGCCGATACCTCGCAAGGATGTTCTTCAGAACAACATGGTTGGGTGCACGTTGTACAGCGCTCTCGACTTGGTCGATGGCTACTATCAGCTGCTCATGAGAGCGAGTGCTATCCCTCTCACTGCGGTGAGTACTCCGAGCGGCATGCTCTGGGAGTGGTTGGTTATGCCCCAAGGGCTGTCAAACGCACCGGCAACGTTTAATCGTCTTGTGACGCAGTTGTTTCGGCCGCATCGCGCATATGCGCAGACGTACTTTGACGACATCTTCGTCCACAGTCGTGCGGAGCACGGGAAGTCGGATATGCAGAACCACATCGACCATTTGAGAGCCGTGCTCGAGTGTATGCGAGCGAACAAGCTCTACGCCAATGCCGACAAGTGCATCTTCAGCGCTGAAGAAATTCCCTTTCTGGGATGCTTCATTGGGAAGCGTGGTCTCCGAGCGGCCCCTGCCAAGGTCATGGCCATTGTGGACTGGCCGGTTCCTGCGAACCCGAAAGACCTGCGCAAGTGGCTGGGTCTGGCAAACTATTTGCACAAGTACAGCGAGAATTATGCTGAGTTGGCACAGCCATTGTCTAACCTTCTCAAGAAGGATGCTGAATGGTGTTGGGATGCCGAGCAGCAAAGCGCTTTTGAAGCAGTCAAGGAAAACCTGCTTCAGGCACCGATACTGGCACTGCCAGACCCCGATCGGCCGTTCAGCGTCGTGTGTGACGCGTCCGATTTTGCCATTGGCTGTGCACTGCTTCAAGCAGACGCCGATGGGCGTGAGCGGGTCATTGCGTTCGAGTCTCGGCAGCTAAAGGCTGCTGAGAAGAACTATCCTGTCCATGCCAAGGAGCTACTCGCGATGAAGTATGCCCTCGTCAAGTTCAGGGTTCATCTGCTCGGTTCCAAGCCGTTTGTGATCTTCACAGACCCCGCGTCCTTACGCACTGCGACACAGTCGCCTCACCTCTCGCAGAGGATGGCCCGTTGGCTCTCGTTCTTTGCGGAGTACAACTTCGAGGTGAAGTATAAGCCGGTCGGCAGAATGCGCTGGCCGACGCGTTGTCACGCAGGCCTGATTACGAGCTCGCTCACGTCACGAGTGTGACTTCGTCGATCACTGACATGATCCGTGTCGCGTATGCACGTGATGAGAGTTGTGTAGCTTTGCTACGGACGCTGGGGAGCGCGGCGTTTCGAGACTCGGACATCAAGTTGTCTGCGCGGTTGCGGGCGCGATTGCATCGCTACTCCCTGGATGGGGATCTGCTGTATTACAGCACTGGATCGGATGACACGCCCCGCGTCGTCGTTCCTCACGACGAGGACCTTAAGTATCGTATTCTCTATGAGGCTCATGACGCTCCCTTGAGCGGCCACCTTGGTCGCGAAAAGACCTACAGCTCTGTGAGCCGCCACTACTGGTGGCCCAAGCTGTACAAGTGGGTTAAGACGTACGTGAGTACCTGTGAGTCGTGTCAACGGGTGAAACCCTCCCCACATTCGGCGGCGCCGTTGGCAAATTTGCCTGTCCCGTCCGGGTGTTGGCAGTCTATGAGCCTGGACTTTGTGTTTGGCTTACCGAAGGATTCGGCAGGCAACACGGGAGTTGTGGTCTTTGTTGACCGTCTCAGTAAGATGGTTCATCTGGCGGCGGTGCCGGACACCATTGACGGGTCTGGTACAGCGGAGCTGTTTATCGACCGCGTATTTCGGCAGCATGGGCTGGCTGCCTGAGTCTATTGTCTCGGATCGAGATCCTCGTTTCACGGGGAAGTTCTGGACGTCCGTCTTTCAGGTGCTTGGCACTCGTGTGGATATGTCCATGGCGGATCACCCCCAGACCGATGGTCAAACTGAGCGCGCGAACCGCGTCGTCGAAGACGTTCTTCGCAGTGTCTGTGCGGAGACGCCTAAGCGCTGGAGCGCGATGCTCCCTCTCGTTGAGTTCGCGTTGAACAATGCGGTGCATGCCTCGACAGGCTTCCCTCCGTTCTACGTGAACGGGCTTACTCACCCTCGCGTCCCGTTGACGCCGTCACGTAGTGACTCTGGGCTTGGTAGGGGAGAGTTAGCCGATAGGCTTGCTGATGTCAGCCCTCGTGATGTTCGTAAGGAACTGGACGACTTCTTGTCGATCCGTCTGAATGTCTTAAGGCATGTGCGAGACGCAATGGCTGATAGCCAAGACGTTCAAAAGGAACAAGCTGACGCTAGAGGCCGGGGTAATATGGAAAACTTTGAGGTCGGAGACCTGGTGTTATTAAACGCGAAAAACCTACCTACACATGCAGTTTCTGCGGTCTTCAAGACTAAGCTGCGTCCTCGCTTCATCGGACCGTTTAAGGTCGTGGCCAAGAAGGGCCTTGCGTACACGCTTAACCTTCCCAAGAAGATGCGCACACACACAGTGTTTTACGTGGGCTTGCTCAAGTGTTACCGCGACCCGAGCCAGGTAAGCGCGGAGGCGCTGGCGCCGGCACCGTTGGAGGGGTAGCGCCCCGCTGCAGCTGCACCAGCACGTCAACCTGCCCGCGCAGGATCTGGACTTGGTCGTGCAGCGCCTGAACAAAGCGCTCCAACCGACCCATCCGGTCATCCGGTGGATCTTCAAGATCGTGGAGCCGACGCTCAACAGCGCGGAGCGCGTCGTCGTTCTGCGCAAACTGCCTCCCGACCCAGTCGCGGTGGTCGCGCCCACGCCCGGCTTGATATTCCAGCTCGGACAACTGCGCTCGCACAGCCGCAGGGTTTAGCGGCGGCTCGCCGACCTCCTGCTCTGCTCGATGAGCACGGAGAGCTTCACTTCCATGTGGAGCGGCTTCTGAAGCGACGTCGTCACCGGGGTCATACCCAATATCTGGTGAAGTGGCGGGGCGAGCCACCGTCGTGGGAGTACGAGGTGCCCCTGAGGCAAGATTGCCCGGACGCCGTTGACGCTTTTGATCGGGAGCACCCGAGACGCTCACCGAGCTCGAAGCCAACTCGGCGGTCGCCTCGCGCTTCCCGGCGCTAGAACGAGACGATGACACATCCGAGCGAGTGCTCGAGTGCGAAGCGTGAGCTGGCGCCGCAGGCGTGGACGTAGACGCACGGCGCAGAGTATCTCGAACCGCACGATTGGCGCCTTGGGCGCGTGATCTTTGACCATGGCGATTTTGTTGGCGGGCCTTCTTCTTCGCCCACATGAAGCGGAGGCGCCGTTCAAGAAAAACATCTTGCTTTCTATAGCTTGCTCGAAGAGCATCAATTGGCGGCAACTTACGGGAATTCTCAACCCAGGCCTGGAACTGGCCATCATCTTCATCTTCGGTCTCACCGGGAACGAGGACAATCGGGATGCGCTGCATCTGAGGCACCGACTGGTCGTGCAGTTGACCATCCAGCCGGGCGCAATACTCGGAGGGAGTGGTCTGCTGCGGCGTCCGATAGCGCTGGCGCAGCGCGAGGCGCTCGTCTACATCTGCCGTTGTCGAGGCTCTCGGCCCTACGACGTATGAACCCAGCAGGCCTTTGGCCCAGTCGTTCGCGACCTTCAATGGATCTTCGCTGCTTGTAAAGCCATAGTCTCTCCGAGAGAGGTTCACGATAGGCAACGCCTCCGGTATGTTCGAGCGCGTTGGCGCGGTGCGCTCTACGAGCTGACGGCGCTGAGCCTGGTCCAGTGGGTTGGAGACTGTGTCGGGATCCGTCGGATCATCCCCGTCCCTCGGAGGCAGAGGTGGCGCATGGCGCAGCGGGTCCCGGTGTAAGTGCGACCCCCGGGTATCTGACCTTGGGCTGATGAACGAGTGCCGCGGGGGCGAGCGCGAGCGCGAACGCGCTGTCCTTGAAGGGCTGTGCCCACTCCGCGGCGATCTGCCATCGCCTTCCGACGGGTTGGCGTTGACCTCGCCCTCCTCAGACCCGAAGAGATCGTCGTACGCATTGCGCACACGCCTTGGCGCCTGCTCGCCAGCTGGGCTTGAGCTATGCTCCGACATCTTCGCTGGCGGCAGCTTCGGAGGGTGCGCTGCACGATACTTGGCTATGGAAAGCCTCTGTAGACCCGGGGGCTGCGTGCATGCGTTACACGCGCAGCCGATTCAACAATGAGGCTCTGTGAGCACACGTCGAACTCGCGATGGGTCTGGACCCTAACTGGAAGATCGGAATGGCCCGTGCTTTTGAAGCTGGCGTGTTCGCCGTCTTGATGGGGGAGAGTGTAACGGGGTTACACGGAGGTTACCTTTTGGTTACCCTTTTGGTGTGCGATACACCAAGGGTTACTCCCTGGGCCACTGGCCAGTCATTGAGAATGAACTAGAGTTAGTTATGTCGATAGTAAGTGCAGGTATTTGCACCGTAGGCGGCGGAGCCGCAGATAAGAGAATGAATACAGTTTGTCTTTTGCAAGAAGTCTCTGACTTGTTTTCGTGGGTCCTCGGATAGGACCCTGTTGGACTCTTTGAGTCGTAAAGTCTTCCTCTACGCAAGGAGCTACGGCAGCCCCGCTGCACTGCTTGTGCAGAGAATGAGTAGATTTTGCTGTGCTATCCAGCAGTGCAGCATCTATTTACAGGCTGACAATCCGCCGAGCGCGCGAGATTGCGCGGGGAAATGCACCTACGCCTTATTTTGGATTGAATCACATTCACTAAACACTTGTCCGCTTCAGGGCATTCTGCAATTTGCGCTCGACAGCATTGCGACACGAAGTCAAGAGGCCAATGGGGACACAAGAGGAGGAGATCAATGCTACACAGCAACAGAAGGTATCTGCTCACTTCAACTAGAGTGATGGTCACATAGTTGCGCGAACTCTTGCTTACTTGTCATTGTTAGCGATGGAAGAAGGCGTTCGCGTGGGCCGCGCAAACGGTGATCGAGGAGAGCCGCCAGTCCAGCAGCGCGGACGCAGGCAAGCTCACGACCTTCGCGGGTGTGGTGCAGGCAGCCGGCGCCTTCGACCGCAACGGCCGCATCCACTTGGACTTCAGCGACGACGACGACCGGTACGACATCTCCGAGCTGCAAGCGCGAGCCAAGCAGCGAGAAGATGCCTACCTCCGAACGACTCGAGAAAGCTTTAAGGCCGACTATGATGTCCCCTCTTTGAGCATCTGCATCATGATCGTGGGCACCCAGGGAGACGTGCAGCCGTTCGTGGCCATCGCCAAGAGACTAATCCAGGACGGCCACCGAGTGCGTCTCGCCACCCACGCTGTAATCATCTGCACGTGCAAGAGCAGAACACAACCACACCATCAGTTGAGTCCGCACGCAGAGAGCCCAAGTCGTCGTCTGCGTACTCACCGGTTGCGCAAGCTCCTGCTCCGGCACGCCTCAGCCAACCACTTCATGTTTAGGACCGAGCGCTATGAGGGCGCCCTCGGGTAGATGGATAGCAGCAAACAGACAAAGACATCAATTCAGTTTCCATTTTACTCGCAACACAACAAGCACAACCCGAACCTTACACTTGGTAGCACTTGCGCCTCCAGCGCGCGCTTCCGTCCAGTTCCAGTTCCAGTCTCCGTTCGAGTTCCAGTTCCAGATCCAGTCCAGTCCTGCCACGCGTCGCTAGTGTGCACGCCGTCCAGCCTAGTCCATCCCGCGTTGCCGTTGCGCACGCCGTCTTCCTCGCCTACGTTCTTCGGTGCGCCGCACCTGTACCTCTCGCCGTTCAGCTTCTCCGGGTGCGCCGCGTGCGTTGCCTCGTCCGCAGCTTCGTTCCGCTCGTCGCCGACGGGGCCTCCATTTTCGCCGGGCTCGCTCCTTTTCTTTCTGGGGGAGGAGTGGCGACGCGCATTGTCACATGTCACTTCGTGTCGACATCTCATTGGTGCATTTAGCCCAATCACTCCCGCGTGTCCATACGCGGCACCCACCTCGACCTTCCGCTTGTCGCCTCGGCTGTCACTTGCAAACAGCGCGCAGCCGAGTGTAACATCCGCGTCGGTGGCCGTTACGAGTCTAGTAGTAGGAGTCTTTGTGCTCCGAGGCGGGCTCGAGCTAGCGCCGGACGGAATTGCACCAGTTGCTTCCTTCGGGACGCTGGAGCAAGTGGTTGGTACTTGTCGGAAACAGAGCTCCAGGACGAGCTTCTGTGACTTCGTTGGGGCTTACAGACATTGTCGGAAGTAGCGCTCCTGGGAGTGCCTGCGACTTCAAACTTTGATTGATTTGGCTGAGGAGCTTGCGCGCCCCAGCCATCTATTGACGACCTGTCTAGCGTAGGCGCAAACATGGATGAAGCAGCGATGCAGCCCGCGGACAGCGTGCAGCAGATGTTCGCCTCGCTCGCGGCGATGATGCGATGATGCGCGAGCAGCAGCAGTTCATGGCACAGACAGCCGAGCTGCAGCGCCAGATGGCGGCGACACTGCAACAGCAACAGCAGCAGCAGCAGCAGCAGCAGCAAACGTCGGTGGCCGACTCTTCGTCGCCAGACACGCGCGAGTACCGGGCCGAGGGCATCACCATGCCGAAGTTCTCCGGCACCAAGGACGACGACGTCGCGGACTACCTCTTCAGCGCCAAGCTCTACTTTGAGTCGAAGAACATCAAGTACGGCGCCGACTCGCCGCAGCAGCGCCCCTTGTCGCTCTTGGTGGCAAACTTGAAGGGACCAGCAGCGGCTTGGTACCGCGAGTACGTCTCCCACGAGGGGAACTTCCTGCACTCGGTCACGCAGTTCGAGGAGCTGCTGACCAGCGAGTTCACGACACCCGATCGGCAAGAGCACCTGCGTGACCAGCTCCTACGCCTGCGCCAGAACAACTTCACCTGTCTTGAAGATTACGTGTCGGCCTTCCGGCACATCATCTGCAAGGTAGAGGAGATGAGCGACATCGACAAGGTCATGCATTTCCAGAAGGGGTTAGTCGTAGAGATCAAACAAGAGGTGAAGCTGCGCCAGTTCAGGAACACGACAGACTCAATTTTGTTTGCACTCATGTACGACCGCACGCACGCTGTAGGATCGCGTCGAACCAACGTGAACCGCGGAGGCCAAGGTCCACAACACCTTCAGCAGTCGTCACATCACGTCGAGGAGCCGACCCCAATGGAGATCGGGAGTTCGCACTTCGTCTCTCGCGAAGTGTGTCTGCGAAGTAATCTTTTCTTTTACTGCAAGGAGCCCGGACACCGCCTGGCTACGTGTCCTAAGCGGCCAGCGCGTAACAACCCCCGAGGCTCATCTCGTCCTCCACAAGGGCGCGGTTCTTTCCGCGCAAACCAGGGCTCGTTTCGCCGCATTGTTGAAGACGACGGCGCATCCGACGACGATGACGACGCCTACACAGACAACCGCGACGACCACGTCGAGGTCATCGACAGTTTGCAGCTGAACATGGTGTCTCTCGACGCGAAGTTGTCGCCCAATCGTGAACTGTTGAGGTTCGAGTGAGCGATGAGCGGCCAGGCAGTGCAAATCTTGATCGACAGTGGTGCAGAGCGCAACATTGTTCGTCCGGGCCTCGCGCAGCACTACGTTGAGGCCACCAAGGTCACGGCCGAGCGCTTTGATGGCACGACAACCCCGGCGCGTACCGCACAGCAATGTTTGGAGACTGTCTGCTTTGATGGCAGAGTCTTCAACGATGTTTATCTCATTGAATGGGAGGTATCTTCAAACCAAGACGTGATTCTCGGTCACCCGTGGTAAGTGCAGTTCAACCCGACAATCAATTGGCAAACCGGAGTGATGCGCTTCCCCAACCAGCGTGTAGTACATGACTTCGGTTCCGTGAACAGCAGTCTTGAGGTGGCGGGACCGACGGTGGCTTCAGTGGAAGTGAAACCGGAATTTCTTCAGCACCCGCTTCCCCCGAACCTGCGGCAGCAGCTCGATGACCATGTGCAGGCAGGCTACTTCAGTATGCCGTTGGGACCGAGCTCACTAGCAACGCTGGGACACCAGACCTTACCACGCATCTTTGACGACGGTGACGATGGTACAGGCGCGTCGCCGCTGTGTGTTCTTGCGGCTGCGGAGTTCGAGAAGAAGGTGAAGGCTGACGAATACGTCGAACTGTATCATGTCACGGTGAAGACGTCGCCCAAGGTGAAGTCCGTGTCATTGCAGCTTCAAGCGGTTCTTGAAGAGTTCGCAGATGTCTTTCCAGCAGAGCTGCCACCTGGATTACCGCCAAGCCGCTCCATCGAGCACGAAGTGGTCTTGAAACCAGGGGCGACGCCAAGCAACCGAGCTCCCTTCCGCCACTCGAAGGTTGAGCAGGAAGCATTGGACATCTTTGTGGCAGAGCTGCTGAAGAAGAACTGGGTCGAAGTGTCGGACTCTCCCTGGGTATCGAACATCTTCGGCGTGCCGAAAAAGGATCCCGCGACGGGCAAGTTCCCATCCCGCTTGGAGTGGTTGCACTCGAACAACCCGCACATGCCGATTCGATGGGTCATCGACTATCGCTTGGTGAATGCCGCCTCGGATGTGGCTAAGATCCCGCTACCGCACATCGAACAACTCTTCGATCGCATGGTGGGCGCAGTGGTCTTCTCTATTCTCGACCTCGCGAGTGGATACCACCAAATGCGAATGTCTCCGACGTCAAAACAGTACACGGCATTCAGGACGAACCATGAGATCTATCATTGGAACGTGGCGCCCATGGGTCTGGCCGGCATGCCAGGCACGTGGACACGCCTGATGTGCAAGCTGCTGAGTCATCTACTGTTCGTGGCCGTTTATCTTGACGACATCTGCATCTTCTCGCGATCGATGGCTGACCACGTTGAGCACTTACGACAAGTCTGAGAAGTCCTGCGCGCTAACAAGCTTTACGCCCGTCCTGACAAGTGCGACTTCGGACAAGCCTCGGTGGACTTTCTTGGCCACACCATCTCTGCTGATGGGCTGCACGTGGACGCTCGCAAGACTCGAGCCATCGCAGAGTGGACCGAGCCATGCAACATCAAGGACCTCCAACGCTTCTTGGGCCTCGCCGGGTACTATCGTCGCTTCATCCACCAGTTTGCGACGTTGGTACTGCCCCTGAGCTCTCAAGAAGGATGTCGCTTGGGTATGGAACGAACACCAGCGCCAAGCTTTCAATGCCATTAAGCTCGCGCTCTAACACGCTCCGGTGCTTCGTCTGCCGGACTTTGAAAAAACATTCATCGTGACAACGGATGCCAGCCATGCGTGCATTGGTGGAGTGCTCTCTCAGATGCATGATGGCAACGATATCCCCGTGGCTTTCTTCAGCAAGAAGCTGGGACCTCACGAGCTGAACTGGCCTGTTCACGAGAAGGAGCTCTTTGCGATCAAGCAGGCGCTTACACGTTGGCGTCATTACCTCAATGGAGTCTCGTTTGAAGTGTACACGGACAATTCGGCGTGCAAGTGGTTTTTGCAGCATCCACGCCTGTCGGGTCGCCTGGCCCGCTGGCTCGACTTCTTTGCGTCCTTCCAGTTCACTCTGCATCATCGTCCAGGAGCTTTGAATGTCGTTGCGGACGCGTTGTCGCGCCCCCCTGATGCTTCATCGAGTCCGGGGGAGGGGCAGGAGGACTGTGAGTCCGAGCCCGAGCCGGTTGTAGTGTGTACGGCGTGTTTGACGTCTACCACATGCACGAACATTCGAGACGTGGTCTCACGACGTGGTCTCACGACGTACCATGGCTACGGCAAAGCTCCAAAGCATACCGTCCCGGGATCAAGCTGTGATGCTGGCCGTCAAACAGCCAGCCACAAAGGCACTCGGAGTTGCCACAGCACAGTGGCGCATGAGGTTGAACGCAGCGTCAATGGAGGACAGCACGGTGATCAGCTCACTTCAGCTGGATAACCAAACGAAGCGGGCGTTTCAGAAGGCATACGACAGAGATCCAGTCTTCAAGCCACTGTGGAAGTCCAGACGCTCGTCGGAAGAGTACGAAGCCATTCGCGGATTGATCTATTTGAAGAGCAACGACGGCCTACGCCGCCTCTGTGTGCCACACAACCGGAAACTTCGGCTCGATGACATTCACAACGCGCATGATGCGGCGATCATGGCGCACCCAGGCATCCGTCACACTCAGCGTGCTGCGGCACAGTGGTACTTCTGGCCGAGCATGGATCTGGACATCAAAGCCTACGTTCAGAGTTGTGAGTCATGCATGAGGTACAAGTCGAGCACCGGACGAAGAGCAGGAAAGCTTCAGCCGATCCCGTTGCCCGCTGCGTGTTGGGATGTTGTCTCGACTGACTTCATCACGCATTTGCCTGTGTCCGACGGCTTTGATGCGATCATGGTCGTGGTGGACAAGTTGTCAAAGCGTCCAGTCTACATCCCGACGACTGCAGAAGACATTGCCAAGCTGTTCTTCAACAACGTCATCCGGTACTATGGTATCCCATCGACCATCATCTCCGACCGGGACCCGAAGTTCACGTCGAAGTTCTGGAAAGCACTGATACAGCTGATGAAGATCAAGACAGCGATGATACCTGCCCACCGAGCGCAGGCCGATGGCCAAACGAGCGTCAGAATCGGACTCTCAAGGACTCGTTGCGATGCTCTGTTTCGTACCATGCCAACGACTGGAATGAGCACTTGCCCATGATTGAGTATGTGCACGCAACACTGGTGTCCAGCTCGTCGAAGCTGTCGCCCTTCTTCGTCGACACCGGTCGTCACCCTAAGAACCCATTGGGTAGTGTGGAGAGCGATCAGCCGGTGGCGAGATCTCGTGTGGAGTACGCGTCTCGATTTGTTCAGCATCGTCAAGAGGTGATCGAACGTGCTCGGAAGAATCTGTTAGATGCGCAAGAGGCTCAAAAGAAGTTCTACGACCGGCGTCGTGCAGCAAACCCATTCAAGGTCGGTGATCTAGCCTTGCTGTCGACGCAGGACCTGAACATCTCGCACGCCACCGCGGAAACGACGCTTCGCTCACGGAAGTTCATCCCGCGCTTCATCGGTCCGTACCCGATCCTGGAACTTCACGGCAACGTCGCGCTGCTGGATCTACCGGCCAACTTGAAGCACATCAGCTCACGCTTCAACATCGACAAGCTCAAGGTATACAACAGCAACCCTGATCGCTTCGTCGGCCGTGTGATCCCGAAGTCGACTCCCGTGATTTTCGACGACGATGGCGAGCCACTACACGTTGTCGAAGCTCTGATCAAGAAGCGCATCATCAACCGCCAACCTGAGTACTTGGTCAAGTGGCACGGGCTCCCTCACCATGAGAACACGAGGGAACGCGAGCGCGACATCAAACACGTCAGCCACTGGCAAGCGCTGCTAAAAGATCTTCGCCAACGCAATCGAGTGGCACGGGCTTAGTGGAATTCTCTTGAACAGAGTTTTCACGATACTGTTCCTTACATCGAGGGTCTACGGTACTACCAACTTCAACTTCAGCGACTTCAACGTTCAAGGTGCCGGGACTCGCTCAAGTCGGGGGGAGTGTAATGATCTGCACGTGCAAGAGCAGAACACAACCACACCATCAGTTGAGTCCGCACGCAGAGAGCCCAAGTCGTCGTCTGCGTACTCACCGGTTGCGCAAGCTCCTGCTCCGGCACGCCTCAGCCAACCACTTCATGTTTAGGACCGAGCGCCATGAGGGCGCCCTCGGGTAGATGGATAGCAGCAAACAGACAAAGACATCAATTCAGTTTCCATTTTACTCGCAACACAACAAGCACAACCAGAACCTTACACACGCAGTATATCGAGACTTTGTCATGAAGCACGGTGTCGAGTTCTACCCGCTGGGAGGAGACCCCAAGAAGCTGGCAGCCTACATGGTCAAGACGGGTGGTCACCTCATCCCTCTGAGTCTGGAAGCTATTCAGAAAGACGTGCCCCGGAACATGCAGATGATCGAGGAGATCCTCAACTCGACGTGGCCAGCAGTGTCCGAGGCAGATCCCGATGGTGCAGGCCCTGGTAAGCCCGGCAAACCTTTCCGAGCCCAAGGGATTATCGCTAACCCTGTGTCGTACGGCCACATCCACGTCGCGGAGCGACTCGGTGTGCCGTTGCATATCATGTTTCCGCAGCTGTGAGTGCCCACGACAGCGTTCCCGCATCCGCTGGCCAACATGGAGTACTCCGGGAAACCCAAAAGGGCCAACTACCTGTCGTACAAGCTGGTGGATCTGCTCATGAGGCAGGGAACCGAAAGCTCGGTGAACGCCTTCCGCACGGACAAGCTCGGGCTGCAGAAGATCCGCAAAGGAGACGGCGGGCGCGACATTCTGCTAGATCTCTCGATTCCTCACACCTTCATGTGGAGTTCGCACCTTGTACCGAAGCCGAACGACTGGGGCAAGATCTACGATGTTATCGGGACAGTCACGCTGGACGATTCAAGCTCCTCGTACACGCCTTCACCAGAGCTCGAGGCGTTCCTTGGGGTCCATTTTTTGTGGGCTTCGGGTCGATGGTGCTTCAAGACCCGAAGGGAGTGACCAAGATGATCATCGAGGCCGCGGAGCAAGCCAACGCGCGCGTGCTGATCCAGTCCAGCTGGAGCGACATGGCCGGCGACCTCGAAATCCCTAGCAACGTCTTCTTCATCGGCAACTGTCCGCACGGCTGGCTCATGCCGCGAGTGTCAGCCGTCGTGCATCACGGCGGTGCAGGCACCACAGCCGCTGGACTACTTGGTGGCAAGCCCACCTTCATAGTGCCGTTCTTCGGAGACCAACCCTTCTGGGGCCGCGCTGTCTTGGATGCTGGAGTCGGTGTGGAGCCCTGCCCCATCTCGCAGCTGACGACCAGCAAGCTTCGCGCCGCCTTTGAAGCGTTGGGCAGTGCGGAGCTCCGACAACGAGCGCTTGAACTACGCGACCTCATGCGGCAAGAAGACGGCGCGGGTGAGGCGGTGAGGTGCTTTTACCGCAACTTGCCTCTGAACCACATGCGCTGTGACCTGAATTGCGGTCGCACTGCAAAGCTCTGGAGCAAGAAGGACAAGCTCCGTCTGTGTGACGAGTGGTGACCTCGCGTCCAGAGAACTCGCAAGGAGATATCGTAGAGTACACGTACGTGGATTACTCGGCACGAGGCCCTGACGGGGTGTTGGAAGGCGCGTCGTCTGGAGTTGGCGCGCTCGCTCACGTGTTCGGATCTGGTGTCAAGGATGTGTTCGTCAAACCTGCGCAAGGGTACCGCCAGGAAGGGGCGAAGGGCGCTGTGATCGGCCTTGTGAACGGCCTCGGTGGACTCATGATCAGTCCGTTGGTGGGGACGATGGTATTCGCTGACCACGTCGCTACCGGGGCTTACAACAGCTCCCGCGAGAAGAACAAGAGGAAGAAAGGCTCGCTCATCTCGGGGAACAACAAGGTGCTGGACGCTCTCGGTTTCAAGTCTCGCAACGTGCACAACGGGTCTATGAGTGCAGATGAAGAGGTTGAAGGGGAGCAACCGCTGTCTCGGCAGATTGCAGTCGAGTTGACGCCCGAGGAGAGAAGCACGCTCGAAGCTCGATTCCGCGCGCTTATGAAGGAGCGCGAACTTGGTGTTGAGCATTTGTCGTTCACCCTAGCAAGTGATAGTTCATCGGACTCGATCTCCAGCGAAGGTTCGGGCGTATCTCAAGAAAACGATGCAGAGCAGCCAGAAGACCAGGTCGACCGAGAACAAGCAGAGAATTAGAACGCCAAGCCGCCGAGAATGAACATTTGCATGATAGTCACGGGGAACAGGGAGGGCAGCGTCCAGCAGTACGTTGCGATTGGACTGCGACTTCAAGCGGACGGCCATTGCGTTCGGATAGCAACCAACAACGTCCACCGGGACCGCGTTGTAAATGCTGGTCTTGCCTTCTCCCACTTGGCGGCAGTGAGGCCACTACAACCAAGTTCCTGCAGTATATCCACCGGCAAGCGGAGAACAAGGCACGACGAAGATCCTGGCTCTTAGACAATGTTCGCCACCGAGACCCGTTCGCAGAGATGAAGGATCTGCGCGAGCTTGTATTCTCGCTTTGGCCAGCGTGCGTGGAGGCGGACCCACTGGCACCGGGCAAAACCTTCCGCGCAGACGCCATCATCGCGCACCCGTGCGTCTTCGGACAGGCGATTGTAGCCGAGCGTCTTGGCGTGTCATTGCACTGCATGGGCGACGCCCCACAGTCTCGGACGCAGGCGTTCCCGTACCTCACGAGTTCAAGCACGGACTTGCATCTTCCATACCGCTACTCACCAGCCAACGAAGCATCGTACGATATCGTCGACAAACTCGTGTGGAATGCCATGGCGGACATCTTGGACGAGTTCCGCTCCTCTCTTGGGCTCATGGGTAGAAGCAGCGCCAACAACGTGCTCGCGGACTGGCGAATTCCTTTCACATACTTGTGGAATCCTGCGGTACTTCCGAAACCAAGTGATTGGAGCAGTGAGATCACTGTTGCCGGGTACGTGGAGCTGAGCGACGATGACTCTGGAGAACGCCGATCTTACAGCGGTGGACCAGGCACTGCAGGCCTTCGCCGAGGAGCACACCGGTATACCGCTCATCCACCTCCGTTTAACAAGCAGCAAATGGACCCCACGCCAGCAACAAGAACTGATTGGCACTCTGGAACTGGCTGCGCAGAGTACAAACGTCCGTGTGGTTTTCCAGCTCCACGAAAGCAGCAACGCCTCGCTTTCATTTTCCAAGAGTGGGAATGGCCTGGTGTTCACTGTCAACCAAAACTTTCCCGTGAAGCGCATCTTCCCACACGTCCACGCCGCGATCCACGACGGTGATCTTCCCTTTACGTCGAAGTGCTTGGCAGCAGGGAAGCCCGGGTGTGTGGTGTCTCGTTGCAGTGCGCAGCGGGCGCTGGGTCAGGCTTTGGAGGCCCTGGGAGTGGGGGTGAAACCTTTGGAGGCCGACGCGCTGATACTGCCCAACCTCGCTCACACCTTCCGAGCGTTGGTAGACCCCAAGCTCGCCAGCACTGCAAGGGATCTTGGTGCGAAGTTATCGCCGTCTAGTGCACTGGAGAGAGCGGTATCGGCCTTCTACCAGAACCTGCCCCTGGCAGGTATGACGTACTTGGACCCAACGCGGATTGCTCGCGTGTACGACGCGGTGCATGGACTTAAGCTGTCGTATGAGGCGAGGCTGGTAGTGCACCAGATCACGGGCGACAGCGGAAGCGCGGGCGACTTGAAGTACAAGCCCCTCATGTACTCACGGCATCACCCGCCCAAGTTTTCGTTGCGGCAGCTGGATGGAGAACTTCTTCGCTTGTCCTCAGGCGGCGACGCGAAGAAGCACAAGGCCAGCGTTGTCTACTCGCACGACCCTGCGAGTGACGTTGGTGAGGGTGAAGAGCGTTCCACTCGACGCAGACGCCCTTCACTTCTGCGCGGTCCGTCCATGGCGCTGGCTGTAGTGGTAACGCCCAAGTTCTGGAGCTCACCGGAGGAGCAAGCGAAGTGCGCGGCTGAGGTCAATGTCAGGAGACCAGCGAGCTTCATCTAGATTAGCGCTACAGTGATAAAGGTTTTAGATCCAGAGTTTCTCCGGCGACACGACTCCGACCCAAACTTACTTTAGTACTTAATGCGTACCATGACCTAAATTACTTCAAAACTGCATTTGCTTAGTTATCGAACCCAAAATAATTGTGAAATCGAATGTACCTGTGATATCTCATACATAGAAGCCCAAAGTGCCGCTACTACCTCTTAAACTCCATCATGAGTGGTACATCTGCTACTACCTCTTAAGCTCCATCATGAGTGGTACATCTGTTTGGGTACGGGCTAAGATCGAGCTTAAATACTCTTATAATACATAACCGGGATACAACGAAAAATAGCCGGTGATGTTGCTTGTGGCGGCGGCACGGGTAACATTACGACCCATCACCCAGAAAATGTTGCTTGAAGCCCATGGGTTAAATTAACTAGAGACTATTATAATGGAATATTTCCGTACAGAAACCGGGGCGATATTAGTTTTGTGGACCGCGCCTATTTCAAGCCTCGAGAAGACCTACGTGGAGACCGGTATAGCTTGGGGTGCGAATCGCTCCACTGTACAGCTCCGAATAGCAACTTGTTGCGTTTGTCGTCGCGGCGATCCGCTTGGAGGACACTATTAGTGACGCAAAAAATAGCTAGGCAACAATGAAAACGCAGGTCCAGAATGACTTATCGGTTAACTATTTCCTAGAGGAGTTGAAACACAAAACGCGAAATTTTGACAGGCCAAACGCGCATACTATAGAGTAAATAACCATGTTTCATGAATTATAGTACCATGGTACCATAATATGTTACTTTTTGGAGAGGTTACACATTAGTTTAAGAACGGAATCAAAATATAAAATATATTCCGGAAAAATGCTGAGAAGCATTCCGAAAGATCCTGACGCGACTTTAGATGTCTCGGATCGTCGGCGAGTATTCTCACTTTTCAGTTCGTGCTCGGTTGCTGCGGTGGCCCCCACACTCCGCGGGCTCATACTCGCTGTCGTGGCACTGGGCGCGCTACTGTCAAGAACGCGTATCTACCAAGCTACCGATCTACCATGCAACCTATCAATGCGGCATGCTCGGTCACTGCGGTGGCCCCCACCCCCCGCGGGCTCATACTCGCTGCCGCGGTACCGAGCGCGCTGCTACGAAGAACTCATCAAGTCTATAATATGCCAAATATTTTTTGTGCGTGTAGTTTCTCAGTGCCCAGATCGATCTTCACGCTGTCCACTGGGACTGTAGCAGCATCTGATACTGCAGCAGATGCAGCGGCGACGTCTGACTCATTGGCGGCCGCAGCGAGCGGCGTGGAGGTCACGGGGGACGACGATGACGGCGTCGACGAGTTTCAGTGCGCGGGCACAGGCACTCAAGGCGCACCAATTGATCATGGAACTACATGTAAAAGAAGTCTGCTCCATTCGGCTCAAGCGCTGAAGGTTGTGTGAACTACTGGGACCGGGGACGACCACGAAAGACTCTACTAGGCCGGAGCTGAAGATTGAATAGGCGGGGCACCGCGATCCCAGAGATATGCTCAATTGATTAGAGGTTTTAACTAATCAAGACATTTTCAATTCAAAACAGCTACTATTTTGCGTTAGACGTTGAAGGAGTTGGCCCCATCCATACTGTAAACGATCACTTTCCTCGCCGATTGTTTTCTCAAGTAAGGTATCCAATACACCCTAACGCAATAGACCAGATAATATCCAAAACGTTAACGTAAGATGTCATTTAAGCTTCCACCTGCTATATTTCGTAATAAAACCCGTGTAAATAAGTAGATTTGTTTTTTTGATACAAAATATTAGCTTTATAGAACCCTTACACTTGAAATTTGTATTGGTCCAGTACCTACTATTTCTGTGGACCACATATTTGAAGCCTTGAATTAATCCCTATTGGGCTTCTCGTACTACAGAGTAGCACTACCAGGAATACTATTATATAACCCACGGGTGACGGAACAATCCGTACAAACGCGTACGCTTTTGTAGAGGTCGCTCGGAGCTCTCATTTGTTCGTGGATCCGTCGTTATCCCTACTTTATTCGGCTTCTCGTACTACAGAGTACTACAGGGTAGCGATAACCTAATTCAATGTATCGGTCAGTACACTCGTAGATCTTCGGCAAAACTGCCTCGTGAGCACCCTGAGTTTATCGCCTAAGTATTACGCTAGGAAAGCGAAGGATTGACACAAGCGAAGTGTTTTCGTGGAGATCACCCGTGTATAAGGTTCCTTTTAACAGCCCATGCTCTCAAATGCGGCCTAGAAGTCGCTGTTGCTGCCTGTGCAGTCGATATTGGTACGCGAAATACCTTCAAAGATGAAATAAAAGAAAACAGAAACGGAGTTTTGCCAAATGATGGCATATTTTCGATGCGAAGACCACCTTCTCCGAAGATAGTACACCGATAATATGATCGCCATATGATGGTACCTAGCTATTTCACTAAGAGGCCTCAGAGAGACTGTTTGCAACCGAAGCGAAGCGGAGGTCTGCAATGGTCAGCCCGTGGGCCGGGCAGGGTACGTCTAAGTAGAAGTTAACTTTTAATCCAGACACATGAGGGGATGGAACAGACCACGCAGTGGCGCTCCCCGAGCAAAGCAAGAGAGAGGTGGGTCCATGAAGGACCGTCGCTAAGTCCGCAGGCGAGAGCCAACGCGCGAGTGTCCTACCTAAATCAGCTAGTGCTTTTGATGAGGCGATAGTAAGTGGTTAGCTGATAATTTAGGTGCCATCAGGTAGCCTTCACTTGGCTTAGGTGGCCATTGTTTGGCAAGATTAACGAAAATGCATCATCCTTTGTCAAAATCGAATTTTGGTGAGACTTAGGCTAAGTCTAAGTCACTTAGCCGCAACCTTTAGTGACGCAGAAGCAGGTGTTTTTACCATTGGCTTTTTTCATGTAAATACCAGGTACTACTGAGTCTATTCTCTGGATTTTTAATCCGGAGTTGTTGGGTGAATCCCAAAAACCCTTCCAATTTTAAAATGATAGCACCATAATATATTTTTACATGCGTTAAACCGACGCAATCATTTCACGACAAAACGTGAATGTTGCTTGTGCCTCAATACACATCGAACATAATGATGGTCATGAAACTCACTCATAGAGCAACATCCAAAAATAAATTGGATCTTGCATAAAACAATATTAAATATTATTAGTACTGGCGCGTTTGCGAGTTGCTCAGCACGTCAAGCAGTTAAAGGATCAAAGTGTAGTCTGCTATCCATCCTTAAGACGGATCTCGAGTGCAATTGATCAAAATTGACCAGAACATTTAGCAGAAAAGCAGGAACATCCGGAAAGCTAAAACGAACGCTGCTCATGAAGCTCGTAGTGGCGCCATGGGTTACCGTATAACATGTAATACTTCAAGCAGGATACACTAATCATACTATGGCAGGGGTTCTGCAGAGGTTTTTGCGCGGCACGTATCGTGTAGACACAAGTTGAAGTTTGTAAGTCTACTTTTGCTACAACTAACGCACTTCTAGTAACGGCTACAAGCGCTTACTATGTTTTCTAAATCACAGTTGTAATCAGGTATTGAAGTTAGTTTGGTGCAACGATGGCACGCGGAGCTAACGGGACGGGATCATGCTTCTCTCCGATCCAACGGGAACTTGCTCACTTTCGATTTAGCGGCAGGACAAGGGCTAATCTTACCGCTGTGACGATGCTTCAACGCATCCGAGAGCTCCGCGCGCACACGTCAAGTAGTTAAAGGATCAAAGTGTAGTCTGCTATCCATCCTTAAGACGGATCTCGAGTGCAATTGATCAAAATTGACCAGAACATTCAGCAGAAAAGCAGGAACATCCGGAAAGCTAAAACGAACGCTGCTCATGAAGCTCATAGTGGCGCCATGGGTTACCGTATAACATGTAATACTTCAAGTGTAACGCGGTTACACGAGAGTTACCCGAAGGGTTACGAAGTGGGTACACACCGGCTAACCTAAATCAGTAGGAGAATCAGTACATGGCTTCAGAGCCACTGATTATGCATATGACTAGGGTTCACTATGCTAGATAGTGAACCGGATACATTTACACCGTAGGCGGCTTGGCCGCGCTAAAGGGAAATACATTCAGTTTTGAGATTCACACAGTTGAGAGTTAAGGGTTGACTCTTGGAGTCCGTAAGGTGTACGGACTCGTACGTTCTGGTATTAGAACGGGCTATCTTAAGCTGAGACTCTGTGAGTCTGTCAAGCTTCCTCTGACGCAAAGCTACGGCAGACCCGCTGCACTTGGTAGCACTTGTAGTCAATCCGACACCTGAGTCTGTATAGACTGACCCTCTGTGGAGAATGGAGCAGTTCGCTCACTTGCCCCCGAACCAGCAGGATGCGCTTAAAAAGCTTATGTCCTTGCTGGACCCGGAGGACGTGACGCAACTTGCGCAGCAAGGCCCCGACGCGGTGAACGCGCGTCTCGAGGCGCTTTCAAGCTACGAGAATGCTCTGCTAGAGCACCTCCAGCAGAGGATGGCGACGGCCGAGGTGCCCCAAGCGCCCGCTTCGTCATCCGAGCGCGGGAACAAGACCCAAGCCGCTCATGTTGAGCGTGAAGACCTTCGAAGGCAAGGAGGGTGAAAGATTGATGCTTTGGACCCGTGAGGTTGAGATGGCTATGAGCTCAGCTCTACTCCGGACGGAGTCGCAGCGCGTGGCACTAGCTATCTCGAAGCTCGGTGGGCGAGCGAGAGAGTGGGCACTAACGTCCGGGACATCGGTCGAGGTGGCCTTCCCGACGTGGGACCAGCTGACACAGCAATTGTCCCGAGTGTTTGCTCCGCCTAACGAGGCGTATCGCGTGCGCTCACGCTTCCTGGCGACCAGGCAGAGCAAGAAGGAGTTGATGGACTATGTCCAAGAGTTGAGAACTCTCATTGCTGGTATGTCCGCGGACCCCCTGCCGGAGGCAGTCACCGTTACGGTGTTCATGGAGGGCCTCCGCACTGGCGTTGCCAG